AAAATATGGGTCTAATACACAAGTTAAGTCAGTATCAGGTTTAAGAGAAGAAAGCAGGAAGGCTGAGGCCATGCTGTCATTTCTCAACATTATTCTTCCTTCTGAAGCTTGCACTATTAACAGTCATTACTTAAGCTTATGCCTAGTACTGGAAAAGGTCTCTGGTAGTCAATTCAACTGCCTATATCCCAGAGCACCTCAGAGTGCTTTACAGAATAAAAATATTTTATTTTTCTTCCCAACAGGTGGATTAGAGCAGTGATATGGAGAAGCCACTTAGTCTACATGAATGTTATGATCTACCTGCAGAAACACAAGAGCAGAGAGGTGAGCTGAGCAGGATCCTGGGAGATGCAGCATCCCCAGCTGAGACACCACAGCTTTAAATGGGGTAAGACCTAAAGAGAGGGTGTGTGACTGCACGAGGGTTCATCCAGCTCTGCTTTCTGCCAGTATTTTGAAAACAGAACATTCAAGCAAAAGAAAACCCATTGCTCTTACATACTTACACAGTAGCTCAATGCTGTTTTCTACTTGGATCTCTATTTGTTCGATACAAATTACCAAGAGCTTTTGATTGCTACTAAACGTGATGTGCTCCTAGAATTACCTCTCATGCCCACTGAGTTACACAAATGGGTATTGGAGGAGCTGGAGACCATAGGAATGGCTTTTGTCCATGAAGAGAATGCCAAAACATCCCAAAGCAGACTTTGCTCCTGTTGCAGAGCCCCAGTATTTGAGAATGAAAGGTTTGTGTTGACCAAAGCCCAAGAAGTCAGTATTTTCACAGTAGCACTTCCTGGCTTGTTTCTGGCTTTTCTTTTATAAAGCAATTTTGAAAAATTGCTACTTTGGCACAGTATATATTTGATAGGTTCCCATTTGCTTGCTCAATTTATATCCAGTCCATTTGCTAACAAAATCAAGTCTTTATTGCTAGCCATGTTGCAAAGCTTACATAGCTGTAGGAAAATGGGCTGCACTCCATTTCTCCTTACACTTCATCAGTCCAAGCATGAGCTGGATGCAGCTCCCATGTCCCTGCTGCCAGCAGTGGGTACAGGCAGGGCAGCAGGCTGCCAGATGCCCTTCAGGTACTCTGCACAGCATATAGGTAGCATTCACTCTGCTGAGAGACAAACTAAACGTAACAACTAAAGGAAAATACATCCTGACAGAAGATATTTTACAGTTCCTGTTCTGGATGACACCCTAAAATCTCGTGCAGAGATAGAAGATTGGCCGCAGGAGATTCAGTGTCTGATGTTAAGTTAAGCCTTTTTAGTGGCTCTCTAGCAACCCTGCTCCCCTTCCTCAGCCACCAAGAGTCTGTAATCAACAGCGTACGCCATCCCTCTCCTGGACCTGTGTGTGTTTTCCAGCATGGCTTCTTACAGCATTGCAGAAGTGCTGCATACTGTTGTCTCTTCATAGCCCCTTGATACGAGGAACTGTGATACCCTTTCAGAGACAATAAAGGGTTATAACTTCAGCAGAAATCAGCTGTGTGGCCACAGATTTATTTTCCTGTCTCTTCCCCCACTAGTATCCTGCACAAACAATTTAATTAGTTTACACAAAGGGATAGTGTGAAGTCAGAGCACTGTGTTCTATATTCCAGAATAACTAGCAGGCATTGTCTGCAAGTATCCCTTAGCTGGAAAATACTATTAATTGGCACCAACTGTTCAAATATAATTACAGCCACAACACCCATCAGTTGACTCGTTTTTCACATCTGCAAAGCAATAACTGCCCTGACACAGGCAGCAAATTCCTTCCTGTGAATTCTGCTATCAGACAGAAGGCAAACAGCACTACTGCCCCATCCCCTATGGCTAACGTGGAAAGTTCCACCCACAGACCGTTTCATTTTCACAATCGTGGCCCTGTGATGTGCAGCAAGGATCTGCCTGCTTTGAATCCCTGACTCATTTTCCTCTCACACTCAGCTCAGATTAAGCCCTCTGAGGACAACCCACGTGCTCTTGCTCTTACAATCCACAGCACAAAGATGAGGTGGAGCTTCTCCCCATTACCATCTCTGTTTCTTTTGCTGATTATTTGCCCTCTTTTCCAAAGACAAGAAGAAAATCAAGCCAGCCTAAAGCTGCGTAACGTGGGAGTTTTTAACTGCTTTCAATCAAACATAAAAGGTAAACTTGAGGTTTTATTCCTCTGCAGTAAAACAGCCACTTCTTACTCACTCACCACGGCCTGAACTGCCCCAAATTTCTAAAAATTTCTGTTTTTCTTGCTCATTTAGAGAGTCATCTCATGTTAAGTGACAACTCTTAGGTACTAAGGCAGATATTCCCAACAACCAATGGCAATGGGTGCCACGGCACGGCGCTAACCCAAACCTATTAGATCCAATGTACACACACAGCACGTAGGAAAGTGGACCAAGAAAGAGGAATCAGTCACTGTGGGTACATCCAAGAAAACACTTTCTCAACGGCCTTCCTGTATTGAAAAGAAACCAATTCTACTTGCAAGTCACTTGCAGAAAATTTTAATATTTTGCCAAATATACAGCTATTAGAATTACCCTAAGTATCAATTAGAATTAAATTACAAAAGTTGGTAGATAGCATAGAACAATATTCTATAAAATGAAGACATGTAATATGAACAATACCCCCTGCAGACCAATAATGGCAAAGATAGCAAATGAAATCACAGTCCAACACAAAAATCAGAGGAGTCGGAGTGACGGCATTAGACTCTTCAACCAAAGAAACTGAGACCAGACTCGATACATTCATCCATCAAGCATAATAAATGTAGAACTTTAGATTTTAAAAACAATTAACGACACAGCATCAGGTGCAATTTCACATGCTTTCGTTTATCTTCCAGTACAGTTCCCAGATCATAAAGTGCCTTTGTGCACTCTGGTTTCATCGTAGTCAGGTGCAATACACATGTTGAGAAGTCAGTTCATAAGTCACTTATTTTATTCAGAAAAAAAAAAGCTTTTGTTTGTTTGTTTGTTTTGTTTTTTGAACCAATGTGCACAATCCAAACTAAGGCGTTTTATTTTTTTGAAGTACCTTTGATCTCAGGGACTATTTTCTGTTGAACGTCGCACAACACACAGAAATTAAATTCCAAATACACGGGGCCCAACTCCATCAAACAAGACCAAGGTAAAAGACGTTTCTTGAAGTCTGTTTCTGCCTTAGCTTTTTTTCATTTTTCCCCTTGCAAACAATTACGTTTGCCCTTCTGTAGACAACCTGTTCTGCAGCTTTCACTTGCAGATGGCCTCAAACACACTGAAGGCAACACGCTCCCCATGTTCCCTTCTTAAACCAAACCCCAGCACTGATTGCAGTAAAAAAGTTGGGCCCAGCCTGGCAGTCACTCACCTTGCCCCCAGTATATTCACACACGCAAGCAAATTTCACAAATCCTACAACCCACTCTCCAATCCAAGAACGTTCTGTGCTAAAATGTCACTCCTACTTTTCCATGCTAACAAGGACAAAAGGGAAATAGAGTTTCTCACATTATCTGAGGCATTTTAACGGTGTTTTTCAATATCTGCACTTTGAAGAGCAGTGACGGGGCAGTATCTTGTTTTAAATCACTCCACAAAGATGCTACAGGAGGTCACCCATGATCCCAGGGCTCAAGAAGGCACTCCAGAGGAAAGCTTAATGGAAAAAGCCATGGGGGAGAGAACAAACAACTGAACTTGGAACAGCAGGCACGAGTCTCTAGCCTACTGCTGTCTTCTTGTACTTGACAATACTTCACACTGTGAAGCGAAAAAACAGTGGCAAAGGTTTCTAGTTCAGGCTGTAAATGCCAGTGGTGATGCGGCAGAGCAGGTCATGCCTTCCCTTTGCTGCTGCTACGTGTGACGAGTTCTACTCTTGGCCCTGCATGGCCCATACTCATCCCATCGGGAGCTCTTTGCAGGTGGGGAATGGTTCTCTCGGGGCTCCAGAGGAACAACACACTGAAATTCCTTTTAAGAACAAACCCACGTGCACTCCGTGAATGAGACTAAAGGAATTAGCTATTTCCTTATCTACTGACTGAGACTTGAAAAATCCTCCACAAAAGTGAGTTACAGAAAAGAACAGCCTGACTACGCATGACAGCAGAGAAACGGAAAATGGTACAAGTTCAAAGTGAACCACACATATACGTAAAGTCTCCATTTTTGTTCTTACAGTGATTTGGTTAAAATGTTTCCAACGTTTCATAATGGTGTAAGAATTTTCCAATGTAATTTATGCAGCAAATTCCACCCATATCCAAAAATACCATATATGTGAATGCTTTTTTTTTTTTTTTTTTTAAATAAAAATGCATACAATTCAAACTCTCCTTAGGTAATGCCTAAGGAGCCTAAAATCCTATGCACAGTTCTCATCGTCACCTATGTAGAAAGTCTTCAGAAAAAGTATATTCTTAGAGAACACATGAACGACGACACTTAGACGAATCTTCCCTTCTGACAGTTGATTCTACTCCACCAATCTCTTATTGCTTAAAATGAAAACAGACAGCTTTCATCAGCGATGGCAGCACTCGAATCGCACAGCAGCCTGGGGAAGGGACCTGCTTTCAGTCCTGTTGGACAGAAATACCCAAGAGCCTGTGGACACGACCACAGATCTGTCGCCAGTCCTGTCCGTGTCGCACAGACAACAAACAAGAGGTGTCACTGGCATGGAGAGAGCTCAGTGGCAATGAGGATGTTTAGTGCTAAGGTTGCATTTTCCTATCACTTCTGTGCATACAGCTCCAACTGCAATCGAAAACAATCCTACAAGACACTACATACATCAAATCTGAAGTGTGCAAGAACAACGGCAATAGAACACCGCTGTGGGCTTAAACTCACATTTGGTACCATGCCAAAACACCTCTACAGCAAGCTTTATTTATACAACTTCCAATTAAAAATGCTGTTATCTCTCGAGCTACGCTTTAAATTAACAGAAATACATCCATAATAACTAAAAAAAAAAAACTGATAAAATTATTTTCCTTTTTTTATTCAAAATAATCTGACAGTTTAACAATATTCCAGGTGCATTACAAACACTGCCATAGTCAACACAACAATCAATACTTAAAGAGCATTCAAACACTGAAGACATTTATCTTAACGCAGAGACAGGAGAACACGCTTACACTGAGAGCATTTATATCACTTTCAATAACTGACTCCTTTGAGGCAGATGTCCAATTTCTCTGGCACAAAAATGGATTCAAATCCAGTAGAGATGAATTACGGAGGAAAAAAAAAAAAATCAGGAGTATAAAGGTTTTTCCCTGTATTTTCTATTAAAGCATTGTGAGATTACAGTTGCACGGCCACTACCAGCCTAGCCTACCCTAGTGTTGACTGTTCATGGGATAAAACATCTAAACCATAATACAGAAACCAGCATTAAAGCCAACAAAACCACAAATTCTTTCTAGAATATGGCTAAATTAGTCCACAGAGAGTTGGGAACACACGATGCAATGGAAATACTATCTGGAAGAAACACTTGATCATCCCCATATTTTCCCCTCTGCCACCACCAAAATTTGCAGGAAAATGTTAAGACAATTTTACTGCCCATCCTGCAAGCATCCTCCCCATCCTTCAAAATCATCACCTTGCTGTCTTGATTCTTCCATGTATTGGCCAGTGTTACCTCTGACATTTAAAAAAATGTTACAAGTCACATTATTTCTACACAATACCCTGTTTCTTTCCAATTAACCCAGGATCTAAAATGGAGTTATAGCTTCAACTTCATTTAAAGCAGCGCGTTTGTTCAAAAAAAGAAACCAAGACGTCAAAACAAGAACTTCTAAGGACACATACACAGTGCAGAACATCATACAGAGAGAGCAGCAAGGCCACACTGTCATGTCGAGCCCACATTTAAAAGATTCATGTTTCCAAGGACTAAATCAATTCTAGAAAGTTTGACTTGTGGGGCTTGCTTAAAGCATTAAAATCTGTCTTTATACCTGGCGTGACATCTCCATCATCACTTTGGTATAGCTGCCTGTATGTGCACATTAGGACAGCCATGTGCAAAGTACAGAGAGGAGACACACCACCATCCCAATCTCATTCTACATGAAAGCCTCTCTTATTTGTTCCCGTGGGGAGGACAAAAAAGAAAAATCAAGAAGGAAGTGGGACAGTTTTCAAATCATACAACTTGTCTGTATGCCAAGTGGGGGAAAAAATAAAATAAAATGAATAAAAAAAATAAATGAAGATGGCTTGAGCTCAGGGTTTATTGGGCTGCTCCGGGCTGTGCTGGCTCTTGGCAGCATACGGCCCCTCGCGGCGTTGCTCCCAGCTGGTGCTCCATGGCAGTGGAAATCTGAATTGCTTCTTGCAAAAACACAAGTGGAAACAGCTTGAGGACATCTCTGTATGCTTAGCCAAATGCTTCGTCTCTCCATTCAGTTAATTTGCTTCTAGAAGCAATGTTTTTGAAAAAGGACCATCAGAACAAAAGAGCATTTCCCTTAGTTGCAACATCACACACTCCATTAATAGATAGACTTTCTCTCCTAAACCAAATTATCTCCTGGAATATCTCACATTCATTTCTTTTTTTTTTTTCTTCACTCTTTCTCAAAACAAAGTCTCTCTAGCAGTTGTGCAGCTTAAGCCTGTTACCACAGTTTAGTCCAGCATTTTCTTAGCACCTCACACAAATAACCCTTTAGCTTGTCTGCAATGACCATCAGCTACAAACAGCCACCAGAAGGGGAAGCACAGCAGTGCAAAAGCACAGCACTACCACCTGCTACATCCAGAAATGCTTTTGGATATGCTGGTTCCTGGGTCAGACAACTGAATCTAAATGGGATTTCTCTCCAAGTAGGGTTAACTCCAGTTATTCCAATGTAGTAAACACAAGAGGGCAGTACTGAGGATGTCAGTCCTGTACTGTACAGTTTTCAGTCTGTTTTTTAAAGACCTGTTAATGGAGATATGGCTCAGTGTCAAGGCTAAGTGGGAAAACGTTATCTAAGTTCAAGTCCATATGGGAACTAACACAACCCTTGCCTATTGTACAATAGTGCTGCTTGGATTTAAGCCAACCACACACACTTCACCCTGCTAATTTACTATCCTGCTCAATCACAAGTATCTTCACCCTTTCACACTCCCCGGTTCGCTATCATTTATTTTCCTGAGTGAGATTATAAAAAGTTAAACCCTTCTACCAAAAGTACAAAGACAAATTAGATATAGTAGAACAATACAAACCCAGTTATACAGCATTACAAGTGCAGAAATTCTTCACGTTGTTGCTCTTCTTTATCGTTGGCCCCCAGTAAAAACCATAGCAAAGAATCTAGTTATCCAAAATATTTTTAAGTACTGTGATTAAATTTTTCAGACCATAAACGTAGCCCTCATCCTTTGTGTTGCTGGGAAACACGTGAGCAAAATCTATCATTCGGACTTCCACGTTTGCACTTTCCTTGATCTCTGCTGGCATGTGACAGAAAACTTTTTCCAGTTGCGGTATAACGTTCCCATTCAGATGTTCCTGTGCAATGCAAGTGCTGCTTTTCCACATGTTGTCTTGATCCAAGCTTTCAACTTTTAGAGAGATCTGGCTGTGGTGCCTCTTTGAGTATGCCTTTTTGTGAAGTGCATAAAATTTGGACAAGCCTTTACTGACAGAGGCCTCAATTTTTCCATTCTCTGTAGAACTTATGACATGAATATTGTTATTATACTCCAGTATGTCTCCACCTGATAACAGTCCTCTGGGCACTCCTCTCTTCTCTGCCAAGGTGACGTCGCTCAGCCGCACGCTTGGGGCCTGACTTGAGCCCTCGTAAACAAACAGCAAGGAGCTCGCATAGAAGTTGAGCTGCTTTTGGCCCTCAAACCACTTCAAAATCTTTTCAATCTTCTGAATGCTGGCAGCGATTGCATCTTTTCTCAAGCAGTACCCGTTGTGGAAGAACTTGGAGATGCCTACAAGAAATAGACATTTTTGAGGATTATTTTCATCTCTGGAAAAGAAATCAAATGCTGTTCAACATCTGAGGATAAGAATAAATCTCCTATGAAAAAAAGGCAGTGTTGAGTTTCAAGCACAATTACTAAACAAATCAGAACCAAGCCAAAGAACTCAGGTACCTTCAGTACACCTTACAGAAATACAGGTTGGTGTTGGATTGCACAGGAATCCAGCGAATCAATGTACCAAGCTGCAGATAAACAAGGTTCCTGCTCCCCATGTCATTTAAAGCAAGCAACCCAGCCGTGTTGGGCAGGGACCCACTGAACTCTTCAGGGATAAACAAGCTGAAGCAATTTGTTTATCATGAGTGGCAGAACTGACAAGTCAGTACCAGCTCTAAGGGCTTGTCTGTTTTCCTTCTGTCCCAAATGCCAGTTAATGACTAGCTGGAAATGCTTATCACTAAACAGCCATATGAGGGCAGCACTTTTATTTCTTGTTAGTCTTGAGCGAAGTAAGGCCAGATTTAACTGAGAAGGTCAGAGAAAGATGTATTTTTAATCTAAAAGACAGCGTTTATTCACAGAATGCAATCAGAGATAATACAAAGCAAATTAAAAACATAAATGCCTCTAAGGGATTTCCACCTCATTACACTATCAAACTTCAAACCTGCAAGGAAGTTCTATTCTACCACAACTACTCCCTTATCAGTAGTGAAAGGCATGTGATGACAAAATTCCTTTGAGACACACAGCTGTTACAGCCAACTGCCAACTTAACTTTGGGTCAACAGCGATTGATTCAAGGAATAGAGGAGGCAGCCTCAGACCCATCTGGGACAGGAGAGAGCGGGATTTTTACCATGGGGGCACACAGACTACTTTTACATACAGTTCAAAAATCACAACAATAGCCAAGAGTACTAAATTCTGGCACACACACTCCCTTACCATCCTTCACTGTTTCCTTTGTCAAGCTCCTCCCGTAGTGCTGGTTTTGCGTCTCGTAGCTGTCAGAAGAGACATGGTAAACCTGCAGGGAACAAAAAGGCAAGTATGTACTTCAGAGCAACCATGGTTTTCTGCAGAGCTAGGAGACACCTCTCACACAGGTGATGCTTTCTGGCCCCATCCATCCCTCCGGTAGCTGAACAGCTACTTAGGTAAGTCAGCACTGCCCTCTAGTGCTCTGCACAACATCGCTGCACATCTTGGGGTTTTAAGCTACAACTTTTATATTTTCTGGCATCAGAAAGACACCACTGTATCGGCTAAAAACAGATCAACCTGTTCATAGGAGGAAGCATTTTGCACAGCATCAATGCTAAGACCTGAAAACACCATGTTCCTAGCAGTGTTACTACAAGGATTCCATCAGTCAGACTGAGCACACTCAGAGGAACTCACTGCTAGTGTTTTTCAGTTCTTAAAACTATAGAAACACATACTGCAACAGTAAAACAGCAAGCAATGCTGTGACGTGCCCAGGAGGGCCCAGCAACACAAGGCACATGTGCAATGAGGGCTCAGGGTGTGAGTGAGGTTACAGGAAGTAAAGCATTGCAGCACTCAGTGCTTGCTACTTGCCTGGCAGGAAGGCAGCTCACACGGGCACAGCTTTGTCCATATCAGGAATTGCACAAGCTTAACAACTTAATTCAAAAGTGCTTTCTGCAGAGACACATTTTCTCTCTACCCAAAATAATTTCCATTGTAGAGGCGTGCCAGCCAGCCACGCCGAAGACTGACTTGTTTATGAGAGCGCAGACAATTCCTATTGGCAGCAATAACTCTGGCAGAAGCTTTCTGCCTGGCGCTCACTCAGACCACCCAGCCCTACACAGCCCCAGTATGAAAACGCAGGCCCCAAACCCCGCTCTGCACAAACTACCAACCCCACATCGCACATATTTAACTATCTCATGAATAAGCAAGCAGGCAAGACACCCCTGGTTACCCAGAGACCTGGTTGCAGTTCTTAGGCAGTTTTTTCTTCAGGACGACGACACTGAAGGACAGCATATTTAAGTAATGATGAAACTATTCCCCACATTAAGCAAAGAGCTGTCTCCTCATTCCCCTCAAAGCCTTTTCTCAGCAGCACAGAAGAGGCTGCCTGAGCCATCCCTGGAAAACCATGCAGAAACATCAATACATTCATCCCTGTGCTGAAAGCAGAGAACAGGAACACAAGTTCAGTGTGCAGCCCCTTCTGGATCCTCACCTACCCCCAAAAACAGAGATGGAGGAGAGAAGGCTGAGCAGCTCACGAGGTGCTATGCTTCTTGCTGCACCGTGCTTCACTCACATCGTCACTGCTGCTCATCTGCTGCTCACCCTTCCCAAAAGGATACTTGCCTTCAAAGCATTTTTTTTCTGTATCCCTGTTGTTGCAACTGCCTGCACTAGCCCATTTCTGTCAAAACGATGACAAGTCAAGTAACTCATCTGTAACCTCAGGAGCAGCCAAGAAACTATTAGACAGGAAAATCTCATTTCTTGTCCACCTGCCATAGCTCATTACATGTTTGGTCTGCATTCATACAAGTCTCACTGCACAGCACGAGACAAAGAAAACTCTTTACGTGACCCACCAAGCAACACCTTCAAGAAAACTCCTGCGTGACCCTGAACATCCTCACCAGTAGAGAAGAGGGCAGCACATGGGCTCCTCCATGTGCCTACAAGCACTTAACTGAGTTTCCTGCATAAGCACAACTGGAATCCAGCACGTTACCATGTTAATTTTTTCTACCTGTTAGTTGTTAGCCTGTATAGGCAGTTTGTCAAGCAATCCTGGTAATTAACTAGCAAGGAAGATTCTTTTTGGTCTTTCTCAACCTGCACTTGGCTTGTTTCCCCACATGGTGTTTATTACAACAAAAAACTAACACATTTTTGCTTGTATCTTTCTTCACGACAGTTTTTATGACTCACACATTAAAAAACGAAGATAACTGCATTTCTTTTCTATATTTTATTTTTGCTGGCTCTCTCACTTTATAGCTTTTCTGAAATAGAAATATAACAAGTAACCCCATATATTCAAAATAATGAAGAGACTACAACTAAGATCTCTACATTCTGGATTGTGCTACACCACATTCTGTCCAGCAAACACCAGCATCCCTTACCTAGCACATACACTGTGATGGGCAGACAGCACCTGGACAGGAAGGTTTTCACATTATAGCCTGAATCTTGCAAAAGGAAAGCAAGCAGGCAGAGAGCACCCCACAACCAGAAGGAGGCAAGCTAAGCAAAGAAAAGCCCTTGTTTGTCAGCACGCGCTTTGCTAAGTGCTGTGTGAGGGGAGGAGGAAGCTTCTGAAATCTTTCTGGAAACTGACTTCAGCACATAATTTGGTTCTAAATTCACATGACAAATCTCATCTAGTTAAATACCGGATGGAAAACTGCAGTGCATGGGAAAATCATCATCATAAAGAGGGTTTTAATAAGAGAATCAGATGAATTTGCTGCAACAGGACAGACTTACCAATAAATGAGCACGTTGCAAACAACAGTTACAAGCACAAATAACATAGATGCAAGCATTTATTTTATGTGAAGACACAGGGAACGTGAAGTACGCTGCTGTACAGATGTGATAAGGAAGGTTATGTAATGATATAAGCCAAATCCAAAGCTGTAATCTTCAGCCTTTCCTCTCAATCTAAACTGTTGGACTGGTTTTTTACTTGACTCCCACGTTCTCTCTCACAGGCTTACATAATTACTACTCATGACCACTATAATTTATAGCTGTAAAAGCTTATCTCAAGACAGAGTTACGGCTGGGAGCCTAGGCAATTAACTGAAAAACATTACAGAGATATTAGAATTATTTCAGACAATGGTGCAATCTAGGTGCTGTTGCTATCTGAGCGATGCAGAGCCTTATCTAAGACTTCAGCCATTTCTGTTTGCTGGTGCAGAGCTCGAGAAGCCCTGGCTGCATCTATGTGAGAACAGCAACAAACCTCGTGTCACAGAATCACAGAACGGCCTGGGTTGAAAAGGACCATAATGGTCATCTAGTTTCAATGTCAAAACCAAAGTTATCCTGTGTCAGTTGAGGCAGAAAAAAAATACTTCAAATGCACTGCATCAGAAATTAATTACTGACATTAACACATCTGTGTTACCAACTCAAAAACATTTTGTACAACTTTTATGTTTAAGCTTTAGAGCAGCCAAGACACAAACACTGAATCTTCATCATTCTTCACATGTAAAACACGAGGAAATGTAACAGAGTTACTGTGGGCCTCTAAGGGTCCTCAACCATCTCCCAGTAACCTCATGCTGACATTTGTTGCTTGCGTCCAAGGTATTTTCTTTGGATGCAAAGCTTTGCTCTGTGCAGAATGTAAGCAGCTATTTACAACAACGGAGAGCAGTGTTTTCAAACATACTTCACAGGACGTTTGATGTCGCTCCCACCAACACACTCAGATAACACTTTATCTACACAGAACTCCAGATATTGTCACTTGCCAGGTAAACTAGCTGCTGTATCTGGTATTGGACAACAGGCCAGAGCACAAGCTGAATTTGAAACCAAAGCAAGTTCTCACCCTCATGCCGAGTACCAGGAAGCCAATCTCTTCCATCAGCGGGTACTTGCTGACCTGCTGCTGGATCTTCTCTGCTGAAGCATATGGATCATAACTTTTCTGCCCTATTTTTACATCCATTATGCACGGCTTATTAAATTTACGGGTCACGTCTTCCAGTTTCAGATACGTATCTGTTGGAAAAACAAAACCTGGGTTAGCGGTGGGTCAAAGCAAAAGAAGCAGCAAAATAGTTTCTGCTGAGTTTCTGTGCAGCAGGGAGAACAGTCAAAGGACTCGTGTGATGTCAGGGCTTGCCTCCGAACACAGCCTAAGCCACGGCCGCTGGCAGCCACATACTGTTAGCATTAAATCCTAAATGCCTTCTGGTTCAGAAAATATCATGTAATTTAAGTGTGCTAGCCTAGCACTCAAATTCAAATTACTGCCCGGATGAAACTCATGAGTACCTTTTATTAAGCCATTAGCATATTTTAAATCACATTAACAAGCACATACAAACAGTCTCTGCAGTAGAGATGGTGATCTCTTTTTATGTGTGAGAAGGCTAGAATTCAACCCCCTGGTTGCCTGATTTTTTTGTTTGTCATTTTAAAAAGAACCAACGTTCCACAGTGCCTCTCCGGAAAGGCAGAAATGCGCTCATTTTTCTTCTTTCCTCCCCCCTCAGAGCACACCTATTGAGGAGAATGCTCCTCACACCCTAGCTGCCTCTAAACCATTTCCCCAGGCCCTGGGGGGGGAGCGGAGGCAGAATCAAAAACCCCCAATCCCTGGGAGCACCTGAAGACTTAAATCAGTGCTGAAGACCTGGTCAAACAGGTTTATGTTTTTCTCCAACATGGGTAAGAGGTTTTCCAACATGATTTATGTCACTGATTATCAAAGCACAGCAGGAAAGCCAATTCCTCCAGAGACTGCATTCAATTTGCAGGCAGAAAGCTTGCATGGGTCTCCAGCCATTGCCAGGGCACCCCATGTGCTAAGAGAAGACAAAGCATCAATGCCCTTCTCCTTCTTCATATCAGCTTCTGAAAGCCAGCTTTTATCATCCACAAACTTTACGGAAACATCCATTTTTCTTTTCAGTGCTGCCTATCCCATAAGCTTTTTGTTATTGTTGTTGGGGGTTTTCTGCATTAATGAGATCTGAATGCACATGAACACTGTCTTCTTCTCCATTCCTTTAGAATAATCTAAAATGGGATCACACAAGAAAGCCAGAAACTCCGCTGTTAAAATGTAAAGAGTAAAGAGGGACAAAGTGCTTTGATTTCACAGCTGTACAGATAGGTAACAAACAAGATGGAGTCCAGAAAAAGGGAACCAACAACGTTCCATTCCCACTCAGTAGGCAGAAGCTCCTTCTTAAGGATAATGAATGAAATTGGCGTTTATTACTTTAATAAGTTCTATTTAGAGCTTCAATTTTTACACCATTATCATGATGATGAAACGATCAAATTCCCCAAAGCACACAAGCATCAATCTGAGAAATAGATTCCATTTAATCCCTAGATACTTCTCTGTCTATAAATGGGACTAAGCATGTTTTTAAATGTATAACCATGCTCAAAAAACTCGGTTAAATCAATATACTATTGTAAAAACCCAGCCTTGTACTAACTCACTGCCTGGACTTACATTACTTTTCCACGTCCTTAGGGCTACAGAATCAATGTATATCCACAGCAAATAGCTTAGTTACTGACCAGCTCACCCATGTAACAGGTCTGTTAACTGTAACCACAGGGATACAGAGGCCAAAACAACTCAGGTTTAACTTGCAGTAGCCACAGGCCACAAACAAACACATTTGCTCATTAGATGCTCCTAAGGAGCCAGGAGACCAATACTCTCCCTGCCAGGGAGTGCACTGTATCACCTGGACAATTCTTCTATTCCAAGTTTTAATGTGCAGGTCATATTCAGCCAGATAGCATCAGTGCTTTTTTCAGGCTTATGAGAACCACTGCTGAAATGCAGGAATTCATACAACCTCTCACCTCTTCATTATTACAACTTGAACTGTACTTATGTAAGCATCATCCTTCACACCTGCCCTTTTTGCTTATTACTTGCATTACTGGATCCAATACACCTGTGCCAACACTCTAAATCAATTCAGGAAACAGCAACAAAATGAAATGCAAGGTTCTCAGAACTTAGCTCTCCAAAGCACAGAGCCAGAGATAGGGCATGGGATAGGGGCAGGGGATACGGGCAGGGGATACAAGAACACCTCAAACTGCCTGCAGCCCTTCTGTTCTGACTCCAGACGTTACACTGGGAGCTGCTCCAGACTCAAACTTATCAAACTATAAGAAGTGTAGGTTACCACAAACGACACAGGTTATCTCCATGCTGTTTCATCAATCCTGAAGTCTGTGTATACAAAGTCCTGCAAAACGTGTTTCCATTGAGCTCCTTTCACCAAAGGCACACGGAAAATCTCACGGGAGTTTGTCATCAGCTCCACTTGCCCAAATTCTTCTTTTTAAGCACACTGCACCAAAATTCAGCATCTCTCAAGATATTTAACTTTTTATTCCTCCTTCCATTTCAGGGCTGTTAAGCTAGAGTATCCCCCTAAGAGCTGCTAAAAACATAACGACTATTTTTAAAAAATTAAGCACTAAAATAACTTTGGAGCTAACACTAACCCTGGGAAATACTGATTACTTGGAAAAGCCTGCGTATTATTCAGAAATGACTCCTCTCTCACACATATGCTGGAATTATAATTCAAGGGTTCATCTTTAGCTAGCTGCTAGCTCAGTTAGGATTCAGCTCCATCTGCTCAGTGCACACCCCCATGCTTAAAAAGCTTTCTGTCTTGTGGGAAGGGCTCTATTTTGCATTGCATTCGGTATCTACAGTCAACTAACCCTAAATCTACAAGACTGTGGTACACCACAGCTTTGGATACAGCCCTACAGTACCTTGTGGAGTATACTAAGGCTGAGCTAAAATAAGGACAGATTCAGATACACACGGGTACTGTTGCTTCACCTCTTGTAAAGGAAGCTCATTGCTCACCTGCTCTTCAAGAACTTAAGGCCAAGTTATCTTCCCCAAGGTCTACAGCAAGCATGCAGCTGAGTAGAGATAACCAGAGAGCTCCTCTTCCTCACTTGTTAAAAAGAAAACAGCCTGTTTTTCATGCACTTCAGTTCTTTTATATAATTATGTAGAATGCTACCAGCCCTAAAGTGCTTCTGAGAATCATGTATTCACCAAGAAAAATAACATTCTACTTGCACAAGTGGATAAAAATCTCTGATGCAGATGTGCTTTGTACCAATGAATTAAGTTTCAAGCTATCAAAAATAAGTTAAAATCCTCAGCAGAAAAAAGAATTCATAATAAGGATCTAGGCTTTGGGAAAAAATCCTGAAGATATATTTCAAGGCATTTAAACAAATCATTCCTCAGAGCTTCTCTTCCCCTCTTCCTAATTTTGCAGTGCAGAGAGGCAGGAAGATGTGGTCTGACATATTATTTACATAATTTATTACAGCCCCAAAGGAGATGAAGCAAAAGACCACCAGAATTCACAAAGTATGCATGGCACGAAGCACTGCAGACGTCAGTACGTACGTGCAGGAGCATTCAGCCATTGCTGGAGTCAGAAGTGAGAAAATAACTCCAGGCATCTGCCTTCGTTTCATAATTCACAAGACATCTCTCAAAATATATGAATAAGCAGGAAAAAGCTTTAGCTGCTCTCAGCAACGAGAGAAAAGAAAAGTTTGATGTTGCTTGCTATTTATCTACCCTGTTCTCAGCTTTGGCAACAGAAACTGTAGCCCAGCACTCAATGAGCCACAAGAAGCTGCTTACAAAGAATACACAGGAGCAACAAGTACACAGCAATGACAGAACTCTCAGCAGGAGATACAAGCAGCATAACATGCTCCTACATATATTTAAAACAACTTCTCAACTCTTCCAGTTGTTGATAAATAAATTCCAGACGCCGACAATGCCACAAAACCCAAAGTTGAAATCCAATTGCCTCTCTTCAATTTTAGATTCACTTCAGGAAAGACAGTCATACATCATCATACATCAATCATACATCTCTCACTGGCTCCCATGCAGAAGCACCAGCTACATAGTCCCTCTGTAACAGCACAGTGCTTTCACAAGTGTTTGAATCACTCCACCTTTTCTGCAGAGAGGACTGAAGTTCAGCAGAAGTAAAATAAGCAGCAGAACCCTCCTGCATATTTGGGTATGTGCTCTTGCTCTGTGCCAGTCAGCAAACCCTAACTGAATCTCATGAAGGGTTGAGGTCACCCTTCCTAGTTTCTGATTTGCACTTAATCCCATTCAGATGGCAATTCCATCCACCCACCTACATTTCATAGCACAGCTTCCTCACATTTCCACCTAAATGTCACTCTAGGAAAATAAATCCACCTAACCCACAGCAGCTCCTGCTTCACAGAATCACAGAAGGGCCAGAGTTGGAAGGGACTTCAAGGATTACGAATCTCCAACCCCTCTGCCACAGGCAGGGCCACCAACCTCTCCATTTAATACCAGACCAGGCTTCCCAGGGCCCCATCCAACCTGGCCTTGAACACCTCCAGGGATGCCTGGCCCCACGGCGCACAGTGCTAGTTCATCCTGGTGGTGATAGATAGATGGTTGGACTAGATGATCTTAGAGGTCTTTTTCAACCTTAATGATTCTATGATTCCCTGTGTAAACTAGGGATGTGTTGAATTGCCATATCTCAGCTAGACCACACTTAATATTTTAAGATCATACTGTGAGTAACAAAATGCAATTTGCAACTTGGAGGGAACACTAAGTGACCTCCACAACACATATAAAATTAGGAGGGCAGGAAAAAGATAGCTCTGGTAAGGCTATTTGAGTTCATGCCAAATATGAAAGTGTGAAGGCAAATTTGAGCCAAGAACACGTTAGGTGCTACCACAGTCCTCACTGCACTTCTTTTTGCAGAGTTCAGACAGTGCCTTTCGATGCCAACTTACTGCTGTCTTTGGATAACAAGTCTATCAGGGACAGCATATGCAAAAGAAGATAGAGTTATACTGTAAAGGAGCACAGCTTCTAATTTTGGTGTGTTTGCATTTAAATAGACTTGCTGGCATCTTTTATTTCTGTATGTTCCTGAAGCTCCACTTTCCCAGTGTGAGTAAGAAAGAACAGTAGAAAAAAAATGTTGCTATTTTAAATGCACATTGAGAATATCCATCTTTCCTTGAAGAATACCAGATACCAGGACTTTGTTCCACTCCAAGCAGTAAAACAGCATGACCAGAAGCACTCTTAAACAATGAACCTACCGAAAAAAATGTTTTTCTGTTATATGGCAAGGCAATGGGAGATGCCTTATGAGATGCAGCATCAGATCCCAGTTTGAATGCCTTGCTTTAGACCATCCCTTTTCTTCCTAGAGTCAGTTTATCAGACACAAACAGGCACCCAGCCCACCCCTCCAGCATGGTCCAGACCAAAGCAGCAGCTCTGGGGCTACAGCAGCAGGTTCAGCTAATTAGGAAACGTGCCATGTGAACAGCCAGGCCCCATCACTCTTGGCCCACAGGGATGATCCCAAACACCAAATCCAGCCAGAGGACTGCAAAGTGGAATGATCCCAAAGACCAAATCCAGCCAGAGGACTGCAAACTGGAACGCAGCGTCGGAAGGAGAGAAGCCTACAGAGCTTGTAACTGCCAAAAATCAGGCTCCAGAGGATTTTTCCAGGAGGTTTAGATTAACAGATAAAATTAGAACAGTACCATTTGGTGCAGTAGGTGGTGACCAGACACCGAAGTATTTTGGCAGATACTCCCGCAGCTCCAGAAGAACGCTGTCGCAACAGTCAGAGTCATAAACCTGAAATAAATTAGAGAAGGGGGGGGCAGATAATGAGTTTATAACGTTCATTTTATACTTCCTGTTGTCCCAGAATTACCATTTCTTACAGCCTTTGTTTTCCAAACTTTTAGGGTTTCTCTTTTGCCTTTAAAAAACAAACAAGATGAGAGTTATCAGTCTGAGATAAGCAAGCAGAATCCTTTCTTTCAGTTTTTTAAGTGGACAAGATACATCAACTCTAAGAAAAACTCCAACATGCTTGTTTTCATTTGCTTAACTTTCTACTTATTTACTTGTTTACAATTACTGTAGGAAAAACAAGAATACTGTGGGCTTAGCAGCTGCCTTCCTGAAAGAACTGTTTCGTCACCATTCAAATGCAGCTCTGGACACTGTTACAGAATTACTTCCACCAGCTCTCAGTGCTGTTGTTTGGAGGGTTTCAAACTCCTTCCCTAGACATTATTTTTACCCCACAGAAGGTCAGGTAACAGATACTGGAGATAGCCCAGAGCAGTTCTGACTAATGTGGTTTCCAGATGAACAGATCTGTACCCATACAAGTGCAGGCTGCAATATTATTATGGCACGTAGGAGAAATCCCTGTGCTGCTCCCTCTGCTCTGATGCTATCAGACTGGCGTCCCACCCTGCAGCAGTTGCACACAGCAGCCCCCAGTTCTGCTCCCACTTCAGCATTCAATGGTGAAGGGTAGTTCTAACCACTGGAAGTGTGGTTAGAACGTGCTGTAAAGTCAGAAGCAATGCAAAACCAAGCGCCTGAACAGAGCGCTGCAGCATTGGCTCAGCTCACTGCTTCACAACCAGAAGTTAGTCATGGTGGGGGAATACCGGGTGACAGAAGCAGTGCACATATCAATATTAGAAATCTAAGGGTTTGCATTTTGACACTTCAGGGGGCAGGAAAGCCCCAGAGCTGTGCTCCTGTCACCGTTTTATCCCACACAGCCCCAGCCACCAGCACTGCTGCAGCGTAACTCCAGGCGGAGCCTCACACAGCAGCAATACGCTAAAATTAGGCAATGCAGGTTAATGCTAAATTTAGTTTTCAGCACAGAAACCTCAGGCAGGGCCAACTCCAACCAGCACCACGCTACAAACACAAGGTGCTGCACTCAGCATGCCTACAAGCTCTGCTGGCCCAGTGACCAGCCCGACTTGGGGTGCTGCCAGACCACCAGCACCGCGCAGTGACCGGGCTGGCACAACCACACGTACACTGACTTACACTGAATCATCCAACAGCACCCAATGCTTGGACTGGAGGCCCAGGGGAGACCTTATTGCTCTCCATAATTACCTAAAGGGAGGCTGTAGTGAGCTGGGGGTTGGCCTCTTCTCTCATGTAACTGGTGATAGAACCGGAGGGAATGGCTTCAAGCTGTGCCAGGGGAGATTTCGGATGGATGTTAAGAAATATTATTTTTCAGAAAGGGTGGTCAGGCACTGGAATGGACTGCCCAGGGAGGTGGTGGAGTCACCGACCCTGGGGGTGTTCAAGAAAAGACTGGATGTTGTGTTGAGGGATATGGTTTAGTGAGAACTATCGGTGATGGGTGGATGGTTGCACTGGATGATCTTGTAGGTCTTTTCCAACCCTGGTGATTCCGTGATTCTGTGACTGCCTCCTGGTGTCAGGCCCATCTCAGAGAACCTAAAGAGCAGGCAGAACCTCCAAAGCACACCAACACACACATTATGACACAGAGCACAGGCACACTATCACCACACCCTCTGACAGGCGCTATCTCAAGCGCACAGGCTGTGGGTTAACACAAGCTGGTATGCTGATATTCCTGTACATTAAGGCAGAAAACTTTGCTTGCCTCTGAGCTCAGCACTGCTGCTTCCCCTCAGTGACACAACACACCTTTGATAAGTGTCAGGTGCTGCCAGCAGAAGACAGTGTTCTCCCCGGGAGATCACAGCATACCTCGCTCTTACCATCTTGAAGAGGCAAAGGAAGAAAACAATTGAGTTGAAGGAGAACAGCCCCAGACAGATGGCGAGGCACAGCCCCAGCCAATACCACCTTTCACAACAGCCACACTGATCCCATTTCTGGGTCAGGACTCCCAGCACAGAGCACAAAAGCAACTTCGTGCCGTGCTTATTTTCAGACAACATGGCAAGCCCCACTTCTGCCCACTGCAGGAGCTCAGTGTGGCAGCAGCTCAGCCAGCTGATGGAGATTGCACTGCACCCAGCACTAATGCTCTTCTCCGAGGTGAATTTAGATACCACCAAGGCACAGTCCTGACAGGGAAACTGCACATAGATTTAGGACAGGACAAGAAAGAGGAAAGACTCCTTCTCCGAATTACTTTTTAATTCTCTCCCCAACAGCAGGGTTCAGTTACTAAAGACTGAACAAACAACTAATAGTATGCTCCTGGGCACTTCAAGCAGTAGGATACGATAAAGACTGCCAGACAACTGGGTGTAACTGCCCAAAGTCAAGGTCGAACAGAGGAAAAAGCTGCTATCTTCTAAATAGACCATCCTTAATACACTGATATCAAACATTTTTAAAGAAGGAAAACAGTAATTATTCCTTCGGTATCATCACTTCGGCATAACAGAATGAAGTACATAACCTCAGTCTCTCAAGAAGTTATCTTGCCCCCGGAAGCAGTAATAAACTCTCTTTATAAGTTTGACATAACATACACAAATCACTTATTTGACCTTAATATAGACCTCAATCTCAGCCCGTAATATATTTACATGTCAAACAGGAATAAGCACTCAGCTAATAAAGATCAGAGCAAGTCATTTAGCATGGGCAAAAGCAAGGAAAACAGGCCTTTCAAGAATGATCTTGTGCAGGAGAAAAGAACTTCTGCTGATGAGAAAGGGCCTCAGACAGCAACAACGGGCATTTCTGCTCCCTGCACCCAACCCAGCAGCAAGCTGTACATTCACATGTCATTCAGAATGACAAACGTAAGTGGATTTATGACTACACAAGAAAAGAATCATGCATCCCAGACCCCAGAAGGTATTGCTGCTGGCAGAGCTGAGAAACTTGTTGGAGAAGAAAGGCTATCACCCACCCCAGGACAACCTTTAGAAGTGAACCACTGTACTTGTTTATATCAGCACTACTCCAACGTTACTAGAAAAGCAGCTGCTGTTTTCTGAACGTAAGAACGCCGGTTTCTTGAGCATACACTGATAAACATATGCTATTTGTTGCTTTACTGCACATAATATCTTCATCCAGCAGATCCAGAACTGCACAACTCTTCAGTGTCAGCTCAGCCAGGGTAGGTATCCCTCCTACACAGGCTACATTCTTTCAATAGCACAAACTGGAGACATAAAACGTAATCGCCTCTGGGCTAAAAAGCAAGTAAACAGGATGCTGACATTTGGAGGGCTCACAACATGACCATTACAAATTGCTGCAGCCAGCTCATAGCAAGAACGTGCCCCAGATACGTTCCATGGTGTTCAATAGTCCAATAGACACCATGAAGTCATAATTTCCAGCCACTCAGAATGTTTTAATTCCGAGGCAAATTCACCATCCCTTAACTTTTAATCCAAAGTACATTCTGTTTTGGTAAATTTGATCCAACAGATTCATCTGCTTTTTAATGCAAACAGGGGCTGCTTGGGAGAATGCGAATGTTCTTTTCCTTACTTAACACAGCAGCACGACATCGGCTCTTCTTTGTTTTGCAAAGTCTGCTAATCACACAACTGGCTGAGGGAGGGCAGAACCAATGTTGAAATTCCAACAGGAAACGCCTTTTGACTGTACAGATCTGGCTCCAAGTGCCCAGGCAGAAAGACACCACCATGACAGAAACTCAGTTTCAGCGCAGTTTGCTTTAGACCGTAAAAGAGTTGATTTAGAAAAGATTTATTTTTAAATGTGCATTTATTTTCAAGCCATTTGAACAGAAACCATGAAGTGAAAGCAGGCATATCAGTGTGACACAGCACCTTTTCTTCTTGCTCTCTGCCACCAGCTGCCCCAGAGGCAGCAGTGCTGCTGCCTGCAGAGCCCCAGGGTGCACACACAGCTCAGCTTCACAAGCAGTTTTTGAGGGCTCCCAGACAGCAGAGCAAAAGGAGTTAATGAGTCACGTGCTCAAATTAGCAAGTGTAAGACTTACAGATGATAGTGCAGCCTTAATTCTGTCTCCCTATGTGTACGCATTAGAACACTAACTTTAATTACCTGAGTGCACACAGCATTTCCCTTCGGACTCCTGCATCACCCAGTTATACCAGGCGAGCACGAGGGCCAGAAAATTGAGGTTGAAACAGCAACTGTTAATTGAGCAATCCTTAACTGCATGGCTTCACAACTCAAAGCTCCCACTTCTTCAAAGTAGCAGCACCACACTTGGACTTGTGTCTGCAGGATTTCTTTCCTTCACTACCACTGGATCTGAGCCAGCTCTGTTTATGTTCAAAAATTCTGATACCAGAATACCAAAAGTAAAGCATTTACAAATGCTGTTACGCTACATGCTATTATAGTGACTTGCTTATTTTACTATTCAAAATAGGGCTGTCCTATACATTATATTATAATTATTCACAGAAGATGCCTGAAGAAAGAAAATCAGGACATAAAACAAACCAAGACATATTTAAATTTCTACAATCTGACCACGCAAATGAATTTGCAAATAAGAACAGTGTACACCCACAACAATTACATTCTTCTCCTCACATTCAAGGAAAAAAAGAAAAGAGTTACAGACAGCAGTCAGCCACCTTAACTTCCACAAAATGAAGGCTATGAAAATGAGCTTTGAAATCTCCCCCAAAATATATTTATTTGGTGATGTTTGTCAAGCTGGCCATTTTCTAGCAATGCCAAAAAAGAATTAGTCATATTTTATCCACCTCCACATGTTTTACATAGTCAAAACTAGGCTGACCCTAGCAAGATGTGCAGCCTTGGGCACAGAATAATCTTCACAAGAAATGAAGCAAACCCTGACCAGTTTCTGAGGCTGCAGCAGAGCTTCAAAC